CAATGAGAACAGTCAATCATTGGAATAATCTCCCCAGGGAAGTGGTTGACTCCACTATGCTGAACACGTTTAAGACTCAGCTGGACATGTGCTGGGCCACCTCATCTAGACTGTGCTCTTGCCTAGAAAGGTTGGACCAGGTGATCCTTGAGGTCCCTTCCAACCCGGTATTCTATGATTCTATGATTCTATGATTCTATGATTCTATGAATTATGTTTAACTGAATTGTTTGCAAGATGTGCAGTGCTGATTCTTATGCAAAATTTCCAGTGAAAATGAAAAGCATCGTAAGAAGTACTGATTAACTGATTGGTTATTAATTACCAATGCAACCTACATTGTTTAATCAAAAAGTTCAGTTGCTTTAGGCACTGGAGAAATAAGAGACGGTGCTGAGAAATACTTTTTTTTTTAAATGACATTGCATCATCTGGTATGCTCGGTCACAAATTCAGTGGAAGATGAAAACATACACTTCTGAGTGAGTCTAGTCATTAGAAATGGTGACAAGCATCAGATAATTTACACTGTTTACAAGGCAAACAGAAATGGCTACAAACACTACTAGCTATGGAATTCAATAGACCATTGACTTCTAGAAATATTAAATGAGAAAACATTTCCAACATTTTTTTGTATGAATAAGCAGTCTGATTTCTTTAATGAATACATTGACTAAAGTCAATGAGAACCACAAGCTTTCAGTACTGCTGGTAAATCATGTCTCTCTTTTTTAAAGGCCCAAATACAGATTTAGGAGACAGGTATGACAATATATATAGCATGTTGCTTATTGCTTCAAATAAAACCAGATCAGAAAACTACATGAAATGCAACATTATTGTTGCCAAAGAACACCATTTAGCAGAAAACCTCTGCTAAAATCCTGTTCTGAACGGGAAAATCCTGCTCCCCCTCCAAACCGAGTTTGGAGAGGAAGGAGAACAGGATCCTTTATAAATCTTGCTACCAAAAGCAACAGAAGTTCTCCCAGTTCTACATGATTGAGAATGGATCCTGAAATGGACAGATACTCGCAAGTCTAAGCTTGGTCTTGACTTGGTCTGTGAGCCAAAGCCATAACGACTGCTTTTTTGATGCTGATGGGTCATTTCTCTATATCGAACACTTAAAGTAATAAGTTTTATTGCAAGTGACAGAAATATATGACTAATTATTTAGGCTCCCTTGCTGCCTTTTGGAGGGCATTTTGCAGAGAAAACAGTATGCTTTTTGAAGTCCCAGACACATAAAAGCAAATGTGGCAGAACACTTCTACTTACAAGCCAACAAGCACACACATTTCTGGCTAGACCTTACTCAAATGAAATTTACTAAAACTTTCATGAAAGAATGTGAATTCTTTTTATTATTGCTCCTCATTCTTTCCTGCTCCAAGTCTCTCCTGACCCACAAAATTGCCATACATCATTAGGTTAGGAAATCAGTTGTGCCAATTATTAGTCTCATGACATTAGGTCTTTCAGCTGCTAGAATTATGTGTTTACCTGAGGATCTTGTGTTTTATTTAAAAAGTATGTTTCTGGTTCTGGTCCTCATCATTTCAGTGAAAAGCTAGAAAACATGAACTCGAGGGACTCAAAAAGCAGAACAGAAATAAAAAGGATGAATAAATAAAATAAATGTATGTTTGTAGTTATGAAGATCTCATGAATTTTAAATCAATTTCTTGATTTTCTTAGTCCAGATTCATGTGTTTTTCATGTTGCAACAGAAGAAAACAAACCAGGAGTAAGACACCCATGCTTCTCCCTTTACAGCTGGGCAACTTATGTTCCCTCTTTCCCCCTTTTCAACAGGAGCCCAGGTTAGGCTACACTTGGAAGCTTGCTTAATGTTGCTGTGGAATGGCCAGCAAGTGTCACTACAGACTGAAGAAAATTTCATGCCTCTCCTTCGTAACTAAATATGAAAATGTTTGAGGCAGCCAGGAGCACTGAAAGCTGGTGGAATGAGTAACAAAATGGCTCTGCAAACCAGCTGCACGTTGTGTTGCACAGAGATCACTGAGCTGACCAGAGTATACAACGTAGTTTCCACAAAACCAAGAAATACAGGACCTTACATAAGCTGGGTAATGACCTTAACTAATAATATTCTGGAAATTCTAATATCTAATTATGCTACTAATACTGTGAAAAAAATCAGCCAAACATACTCAGCAGGATTTGTACTTTGAATATAAACAAGAAACAGTGGTAAACGCAAGGAAGCAGTCTCTTTTCATCACATATGAAAATGGAATACACTGAGAAGTAACCTAGCAGAGGGAAGGAAAGGCTGCCTCCTGGTTAGTGCCAGATTAGAGTCACCATAGCTGGGTTCTACCCTAACACAGCCATTGACTTTCTGTGAAAACCTGGAAAAGTCACTTAATCTCCATGCATTTTATTTCCCTCATTTCTAAAAAGGGGATAATAATACCTACCTTAAAGGTTTAGCGGGACTTAGTTCATTAATGTTTGTACAGCATGTACAGCTCCTTGACTGGACAGTACTATAGAAATGCTAAGTATTATTATTGCACAGCAATATGCCAAAAGAAAAGTAACACAGTAGTACACTCTTTACTAAAAAGAACACTCAAATTAATACAGCATGATTTTTTATAAAAGAAAACAAAGAAGTCAAAATAATTTCCTACTAGTGAATTTAACAGCCCCTCCTCCCAGCACATTGTTCTCATCTTGGGTCCCAACTACATGTGAACTATATGTTCAATTCATCCTCCAATTGCAAAATGAAACAAAAACACCTGAAAAATGAAATAACTGTTTTTCCTAAGGCATAAACGTAATTTAAAACGTAACATTATGGAATGAAAATCAACAGCATTGTTGAGTTTATTTTATTAAAAATGTTTCTCTGTGTACAGTGGCTATGTGTATAATCGGGATGGTGCAGCACAATAAATTTCCATTAAGAAACAATGATTCACTTACCACAGTGAAAGCAGTAATAAGGTTAAGCTCTTAAGTTAAGTGGAAAGTAAGTCAAACTAAACCCCAGCAGGTTTCCTACTAGTGGCATAGCTAATGTTTTTGAAAATGTTCTAAATGTTCTTTCTCAAATATATGTATTATACATTGCAGTATTGTTAATTATATCCATTTTCTCTTTTATACACTTCCCCAGGAGATCAGTGAAGAATGGAAAACTTACTTATAGTGGATTTCAGATTTAATGACACAAAGATGGTTTAATATATATGACAAAGTGATGTGCTCTCACCATATTCGATAGGTAATTATTTTTTATACTCTAATGGCTACCATTTTGAAAATAATTAATGTATTATTTATGTAATTAATAGATAATCAACCGAGTAATGAAATACTCTAGTTACATCATGGTGGGTCGTACTATCCTGTTTAACATCTCTAGAGCTCTTGGCATGACATCATGTCGTATATATACTAAAAGATTTCATTTGAGAGATTTATGCACATTTCCAACACATAAGTAACATTGCTATGGTATTTCTGTCCATATATATGTATGTAAAAGTCTCAGCCATATATATAAAAATGTATATTTGAAAACAAGTTTGTCTTAAATTAGATTTTTAAATCCATAGTTATGCACTTAAATAAATGCCGTAATTTTCCAGAGAAATAAAAATCATGCAGCATTTCCTATGGAAAACACGGATCTATTGCTGTGAAGTTCTGCAGGTCTATCAACAGTCCCTCATAATCACTAGCTTTGAAGTTTGCTGATAGAACAAACAGAATCAGCATGATTTTTTTCCCCCCTTAGCAGACGACCACAAATCATTAAAAAAAAAATGTCATAAGAAAACTTAAAATTTCATTCAAATGGACACGCTCAGGAATCTGAAAAAAACCCTACCAACTTCTCTACATTGACACAACCTTCTGACTAATCCTCATGATTGGAAAAGGAAGAGTTAAGGAATGACTAATTGGGAAGACAGTCATTTTTCTGCTGTTGTTCTCTTGAACCTTTGTATAAAAAAGTACGTTTAGAAGTGTTTGCAACATGCCCTTTGAGGTGAGTATTTAATAAATTGTCCATCACCTTAAGAGTGCTGTTGCCCTAGACACCCTGATGTACTAGTGGAAGAGAAAAACCTCTTTACCTCTAAAGCTCAACAATTACTCATGATTCCTTTCTCATTCTTTGGTCAAAGATCACTTGCACAGTAAAGTGACCTGTAATGATGATTCAGGTGAGGGTTTATTTAGAAGTGGTAGCTATGAACAGAAGAAAATTGCATGGTTCTACCAGGTTTGTTTGCTAACTTAATAGCCCTCTTTCCTAAATGGTTCCACTACTTTTGGGGAATGGAACAAAACATACAACGTCCATTAAGTCAGTTGCAAAGCTGAATGCTGGCCTTCAGTTGAAGGAGCTTATCCATCTGAATATAGCATTGTGACTACAGTTCTTTTCCCTCCTTTCCATAGATCTTCAGGCTTAGGCTTAAGATGTGGCCTAGATTAATGCAAATCTCATAGTGTACATGTCTTTTTCCACATATCTATTCACCACAAACTTGAATGATTTCTCATGTATGCTAAATTTCTCTCTCTGTAAATGTGACCTCAAATAGGCTATTCTTGACTCATATGTACAGAGAAATAGGCTATCAAACTGATGGTCACACAACACATTAATTAATTTAACTGATGTAGGGAGTTAAATTCAGAGTGAAGCTTTTCATGCCAAAACTCAGCTTTATAGTGAAGTAGAATGAAAGAATACTACTGCTTTTCCAGTTGCGGTGTGATTAGCCCTCTAAAGCTCTCTTTTGCAAAAAGTCTAAGGAATAAATATTATTGTAAAGATTCAATAAAATCAACATGAATGAACACATACTACATAAATGAAGGTGAAAATATGAATATATGATCACATATGTACATACATTGCATTATGTTATGCATAAGATAAATATTTTATCCTACCATAAAGAGGAGTCACTCTATGAAAACTATGATTGTTCTTTTATTACCTTAAAATATTGCAGTTGTTTCTCAGCATTCATTGTTCCTTCATTTTCTTGTCTCAGACAGGAATTGAAGATGAAAAGCTCTGTATCTCTCAGCCACCCTTTCAGCTCTTTGATCCTGACCTCCAGCTGCCTTACCAGGCTGCCGCTTTCAGGCGAGAGCAGGTCACGTGGACCTAACCCACTGTGCCCTACCATTGTGTCTTGGATCTTCTCTCCTAGGGTTTTCTAATGCATCAGATAAAGAAAACATAGATTAGTCTTATGTACCAAAACATATACAGGTTAATGTGCAACAAGAAGCATCTGTTAGATGACTAGAGATGTGGGTTTTTTAATAATTACTACTAATATCAATCAATTTCATTCATTGTTTCCTTGTTTCAATCAATTTCATTTTTTGTATCCTTGTTTCTCACTTATGCTGTTCTCTCTGGGTCACTGACTTTGCTGGAAACACGATAAATCAATGTTTATTAAGAGTAACTAAGGACAGAGGAGACAAAATGGCACATAACTTTTTAAAGTAGTTACTCTACAGAATTTGTCCGCAGCTTTAGATGCTTATGACCATGAGAATTACGGGTTTCTAGGCAGCAACAGAAAATATGATAAGCACTGAGTTCACCAAACTTTTATCCAAGGTACTGTCTAAGTTTTGGGGGAAACACTGAAATACTGTAATATTTTTTGAGGTATGAACTGTCAGATTACAGTTTCCAAACTTGCAGCCCTGAGGTTGTATACAGGAGCAGTTAGGTCACAAAACAGACGGTTTGCTTTTAGAAGTGGATGAACTCATTCAGATGCCAATAAGCTAGAAATTGCAAAGCCTCAATGTTCCTGAATATCAGGCCAATTATTTAGGCAACTAAATTCAGATTTAAGTTCTCCATGTTAAGCATCCACTTTAAAAATAATGGACCAGAATAAACATTCACCTCTGATCACTAATGAAACTAATTTACGACTGCTTTTCAAAGTAGTATTTCTAATAAAAGAACCACTGAATAACATTTTGATAGTGGACGCTGTGAGCATAATGAATATTCTGAAGAGGCCAGGGATAGAAAGTTACCTTCCTTTTCAGTATTTTGAAAGGCAATCCTTTAACATCACAAGGGAGATACGCTGTTGGCTGCTTCTTCTATGCCAAGCAGTATTTTATCTGACCTATAAGAGGCTGTCAGGCTGACACTTATTATAAGCACTAGATCTGTGTTACTGATTGTAGAATATTGAATATACACTGACAATCACATCCAATAACCTCTTAAACTGATAATTAGCAGTGGTTAATTGTTGTAACATGAAGATACAGTTTTAGGTGACCCAGTATGGCTGTCTGTTGAAAATACATGCTTTAGAAAGTTACTGGCATATAATTTATAACACTGAAGTTAGCTTCCAAAAATAAGCTTTAAAACACAAATAAAATTAGACCAACAGACATTAATCTACTCTGTGACATTCTGTAAATAACGTCTTTAGGAGATCATAACTGAAAAACATGCTTCCTTGGCAACACCCTTCCATTTTCATGGTGCAAATATTGATAATTTGAAGACCCTCAGTGGAATCCAGTGCTAGCTATTGTTTTTATGCTGTAACAAAAGTAGCAGCAGGAGGTGAAATCAATGCCCTTGGAGGGTAGGGTCACAAAAAAGAATTTATTGCCACTTTTTTGTTCTGGAACAGTTTGCAATCATAAATTCTTCATAAACAGAATACTTCAGAGAATGGTCCGTCTTCATAAATATACGACAGAGGACATCAATTTCATTTAATTCACAATTTGTGTCAGCACAGCAGATGCCAATGCCTGCCTTGATAGGGTTGTTTAATATGCAATTGAGACAGAGTAATATTCAGCACAGGGGACAAAATTTCACAGATTAAACTGTACGCACCACTGACATTTCATTCTAATGTATTTCCATTCCACACTGTTCACCTTAGATGAAAGTAATATTAAAAACCATATCCCTCTATTTTACCATTGTTAGAAGTTAAAATCCTTGTCTTTAATTTTTTTCATGCCAATTAAAACGTAATCATGCCAATTAAAACAGTGTGCCTAGTGCCGTTAGTTTCTGCAGAGGTTTTTATTAAATTAAACAAAACTCTATCAAACTCTGCTTATTATTCATGAAATTGCGTTTAGCAGGAAAACTGTAATAGTTATATTTTATTTTTCTGTAAATGCTGAAATTAATGGCAAAACTTAACTCAGAGGTATATTTTGATTTTAACATACTGAGAAGTGGAGGGCTTCAATCTTTTTTAAGACAGAGTTTTTCTAGATTTTTAGAATTATGATCAGTTACTTATCTCATAGTTTTATATCCTACCAGCTCTAATCAGTGCCACTGAATTAACTGGATTAAATACATTGAAAGTTACAAATGTAAGGCTTACAAGTGAAATTATTTTAAGTTGTCAAGATCAGATGTAAAAGCATAGGTTAATAAGTCCCATTTTTATCAGTAAATTTATTAATTTTCAAATAGTTTTAAAATGCTTGTGGTGATGCTGCAGATTAAAATTAGAAAGTAATAAGCTCACTAGTCATAAGGCGACTTTTAACATTTTCTGACAATTTGCGCATTTAGAGAATCAAGCCATTAGAAACAACTGTGCTGAACTAAAAAAGCCCCACCCTCTGTAAAATGGCTATTGCATTACCAAATAAGCTAAAGTGACACAAGTCAGTATTTAAAATGCTGTTGGCAGGTTGCATGTATAGCTTATTCGTAATATATTAGAAATGTTTTTTAAACTAAGATAATAGCATGCAAAATTATGCAATGTAACTGTATTGCTAATATCACACATCTATAATTAATCATTTAAAGTAATTTATAAATTTATCTTACCCTTGATTTGAAGTGAAGGCAATTAAGGAGAGAAGTGGATGGAAAAATATATAGTTTGACCTCTCTCTCTCTCAGCTGTTTTACAACAATAGGACAATAGTGTCTCCTGCACGGTGCCATCACTGGTCTCTGAGTAACAGAATCACTATATTGCTTTTTTTGCCAGATTCTTGTATCTCACTCTTTGGCTGAGACCCAGCCCATCATAGCGTGAAATGAATTACATGAAACTTTTTTGGCTTTTGTCAAAAGTGAGCTGAATACAGCAGCATGAAACGTATCCTGGCTGTATTCTTAGCTTCAGGTATTCCGATTTGTACTGAATCTGCATATTTGTTTTTGAGCCATCAGTGTGACCTGAAATATGCAGTGACAACCCCACTTTTCATCTTAAGGGTATAGTAAATAGTTAAACAGTAGATGTCTCTAACATGTACCTTCAGAATAAATTCTATTAACATTCACTCAAGCATGACAGTCAGTGTATATCAGATATACTGCATTATAGTTGACTTGGTGCATACCCGTAATACATGGCATATTTTACTTACATTTTTTATGTATTAAAGAACTAAAATTATTAAAGTCAGACAGGAGACAAGCATGGAATAAAAAAAAATCAACAGAAGAGGAAAATACTACGGAGTTTTTATAATAGCATGAGTAGCTTGTTTGAAATGTACATAGTGAATTGAAAGAGAGAGATATTTGTGCCTCAAATTAGAAATCAGACAGACAGCGTACTTCAACACACAAAAATGTACACATAACCCACAAACAGTAATAAAAATGCAAATACCCCAAGCAGTTCCCATTTTTCATTAATTGAATCCACTTTTTCAAGGAGATCATTTGGTAGTAAAACACCACTTTTCTTCAGAGCTTCAACCTTACTAAGCAGTTCCATCTTTTTTGGGTGCCTGATTGACATTTCTACATTGTATCTCTAAAATGAAAAAAAAAAAAGATAATATGAGCTACTGGAAAGAGTTTTCTCTACAAAAAATTAAACTTTAATTCTATATTCCCAGTTAGGATCATTCTCACTATGACATTTTTTAATTTTATTTTTTTTTAATCACGCAACCTTCTCATGACATATCATAAGAGATTTAGGTACCAAGCACGTAGCCTTCTGGATGACGTATCTATGCAGGCAGTTAGCAATTCATTACATACAGTAATATCCACTCACTCACAATATCCACTTGTACAGTAATATTCACTAACACTCTGTCATCTGAAGCTTGATCTGCCTTTGTCTCTTTCAAGTCAGTGGTATCTTATTTTTCAAATATGTTACTTCAGCAAGTAACACTGAGGCTCTCCATTGCAAAAAACCAACAAGGAAATAATTACATAATTATGATTTCTGTACAGTTTATTTCTTCTCTCATTGTGGATTCTGCCTCATATCCAGGCCTGAAATGCTGTTACACATGAAAATGTGAGAGTGTCACCTTAGAAAAACAATTAGACATAACTCCCTTACGACACAATACCAGTAACTTGATTTTTATCGCATCAACCAACAGGAGCAGTGAAACAGCACACAAACGAGAACAGCCACAATGCTCATACAGTCCAAGAGTTTCCTCAAGCTGAAACTACCTTTTATTTCCTTCACTGTTATTTATTGCCCCCTCAAAAAAAGGACAGAGAAAACAGGAATAAACCCAGAAGCTTCTTTCAAAATTACTTTAATATGACTTTCTAAATATTTTAGCTGTATATTACTTATATACTCTGTACAAATGTATTCTAATCTACAGACACATTGGCAAATAAATCTCTTTAAAACTTGTATTCTCTGAAAACCTGGATTAGGTATTAAATGTAATAGCTACTATAGTGATTAATTATGTTTTAGTAGCTGGTACAGTAAATAAAAAAATAAAATTTAACACACAGGCATCCACTCATATACATACCCTACATATAGTTAAGCCAATTCCCTTTTATGTATAAAACACTCATAGAAATAGAGCTTCTGATATGGCCAAAAATGCACCTTTTGCTGAAAGAGGAGAGTTCAACACATATTCTTACAAAGGTGTTTACAAGGCATACATAAATTACGCATAGCTATTAGCAAATTGCATCCTAAACATTAAGCTTTCTTTGCTTTATATTCAGCCAAGAAAACTGCTATAGCAGCTCATATTGAAAATGTTAATAACTGGGGTAAGTATAAAAAATTAAACTAGAATAAGGAATGTTTAAAACATGGGTGCTTTTGCCAGATCCAAGAACATGCTCTATAGGAAAACAAAGCAAAAATACAATTGGAGACAGCTTAAAGAAAATAATAAGGGTGTGAAATCACTGTTTCAGCTAACAGGTCCTCAGCATTTCCATGCATATGTTTGCATATTGTTAGTTTCATATTTTAATCTCTCATTTACACAACACATGCACATCATTTGTATTATGTAAACTTCAGCAAATATTAGTCATTTGTGGATCATAGAGCAAATGTTTTAAATGAGGTGATTTAAACCATTTCTCATTATTAATGAACACTGATCAGGTGTCTGCATATCCAAAATTACATGAATATGCATAGTAACAAACAAGGATTGTTTATAAAGAACTTGCCTTTTGATACTTGGTGTACTGTGGCTGAGGTTTTAGAAATGTATGACAGTAGATATCAACCAGGTTTGGCACAAGGGAGCTGGATTCGCCAAGAGGCAACACCATTTTATTGGACTAAAATGTTCAACAAGTATGTTTCTTGGTCCTGTATTATTGCCTTTTCAGCTAGAATGGTTACTGGAGGAGATTACAATCTTCTTTATGTAATCTGATTTCTATTTAAAGATGATATAGCTGAAAAGGATTTGCATAATTATTTCCATAAGTACATGTAATATCAAGGGGAATCCAGAGTCCAATTTGCTAGGCACTGAAATCCAGTTCGTGCTACTCCCTTTCTTTTGTCAAGTGAATTAATAGACTGAGGGAGTCCTCTAGCTGTGTGACACTGGTGCAGGCACGGCTAGTTAATGCTCATCACCTGTTCTAGGCTGGCAGTCGCTGCCGCCTGGACTGGGGCTGGGTATGTTCCTGGGCAGTGCAGGACTGATGAGGAAATAAAATACATTGCGTGTTTCATAACTTGAATGCTCTTGTTAACACAGAAACAGAAGACGTTTCATTTAATTTTGGACTAGATAAAATAATTCAGTGCAGCATAATCCAAATAGTGTGACAGATGTTATAAGAGGTTATTACATTAAAAAATAAATAAGCTAGATTTTATGTACATGCTCTATCTTTGTCATCGTGTAACCTACTGTATAAACAAGCATGATGAAAGTGCTGATTGATAGAAAATGCATTATACTGTAACTGTAAAAGATGAAAGAATTCAGTTCATTAGTAGATGTATTGGTATGTGACTGAGAGTCAGTATTGTTCCACTCCTGGATATTTAACATGCAGTGTGTATTTTAAGTTAAGGGAAGAGCTTAATGTACGTTCAGAGGTACGGTTTGAGAACTGATAGCACGAGATGCTATTGCTAATGCTATTTTTTAATCCATTAAACACCTACACTCTAAGCAGTTGCATGGAAAAATTAGCTACCAGCTCTATCAGTGCTGCACAACCCTAGTCTGGTAGGACTACTTAATCCTGTGGTGAGAAGATAATTTAATCTTCAGATTCATTCTTTCCTCAGCTTTAAGTGAGCAAAGGCTGCTCCATTCTGACAGTCTGTGGATGCTATGATATAGATTACTGTTTAACAGACAAAAATGAGATTAAGAAAGTTAAAGTCACAGGTTTCACGCAACAGCCACAATAATAAATAAATTAATAATATTTAATTCCAACAACACCTGTCATATTAAAAAACTGGGAAAAAAACCCCAAACAACACCACACTGGAAAAACTGCAAAATATTTACAGCGTGATTAGCTGTGTGCATGCTTGGCTGGTTTTGTGTTCCTGAAGCCACTCAAAAGAAATCCAAAACATTGTTATGTAAGTTAAAGAATTTTGGCTTGTTATTCCTTCTCACTCAATACGATCAATATTTCTCAAAGCACAAAGAGTGGAGTTTAAAAAAAGGCAGTAACAGTTATCCGTGAATAAGTTTGGCAAAAATATTTAAAGCACGAGAAGTTGAATTTCAAAACAAAGCAAGTTAAAACCTTACTTCCCCTGATAAAAATATTCTAAGAAATCCAGGCAGGCTTGATTGAGACACATTTTTTGACACTTTATACTAAACTGTGCCTTTTTTTTTTTTTTTCTTTTTTTTTTTTTCTTTAAAAAATTATATAAAACATTTTTTGTGTGAAAAATCACACCCGAAAATTCTGCCCAAATGGAGACTGGAACAATGCCTTGTAACAGTGTTAATTGTCACCATGGAAACCAGAAGAATAAGCCATTTTGAAACTGGTATAGAAGGCACACATTGAGCAACTCAAGCATTTTTCAGCCTCCCTCAGTGTTAAGGAACAAGATGCCTAGTCACTGAGAGGTCAGAGAAAGAAATCATCATGAAAGGTTCGTAGATGTGCACTGTCTGGTAAACAATAAAAAAATCTGTACACAGTTAACAACTCGGTAAGGCTGCGCACTGCATCTTTCAGAAAGAGAAACACCACAAAAAGATGATCAGGACTGGGGTACGGATTCTACCCCTCGAGCAAAACTTTAGGGCAATATTATGCGAACCTTGCCCCTAAAGCTCCCTGGGAATTCTGTTGTTGTAATAAAACTTCAGAAGAGGAAAGAAAAAAAAAAAGCCTGCATGATGGAATTCAAAATAATGCTCTAAAAGCACACAGAGAGATTAAGACATCCATTGTAAGACTTTTGTATGGTGCTTCTGTTGGTTATAGTGAAAAGAGACTAGACATACTGAACACACAGTGGAGCTATGGCTACGAAGTACAGAAGAATTAAGCCAGTGAACTTTCTCCATTATTGGAATAAGGGTGTGCTATTTGTAGATGTTCTGCATTCCATCATTCACATACTAACAAAGTATCTTCAGTCAAATGGCACTGTATAATATACAACTGAAATCAGAACTGAGTGACCTGCAATTTTAGTTTTTCCTGGTTTGTATCTTTAAATTTTAAAAACTTGCCTTTAGGGCTGTTTTGACTGCTGCAGACACAAATACATACACATGCATGGTCAGTGTCTGTATGTGCACGCATAGTCAGCGTTGGCACACATTTGCAAAATATACTGCATGCATAAAATTGAGTAAAGAATACTCTGCAAGCAAATTCACCAAATAAGTAATATAAATATACATAAACGTATAGTAATGCACATATAGCAATATTTGTCCATCATCTCTTCACACACATTCTCACTTTGCTTTCTGGATAATGTTTGCACTCTTCATGCTAGGCTTCATGGTGGCCCCTTAGGAAGCCCATGCCTAATGCCATTCAGTGATGAACAAAGACTCTTTTTATTCTAAAGTCCAGGGTCCAAAGCTCAGCTGTATACAAGCAAAGTGAAGGAATCTGCTAGAGGCCAGCCTACCCTTCACAATAGCTCTTAATGCTTCTACCTTTTTGGTACTATCAGTGTGAAACATTTTAGAAACCGTCCAGAAGCTTGGTTATATTTCTTACGCTGTCAATAGCACTAGAACCTCTGGACAGCATTCAAGATCTGGGCTGAGCAATCTGTCTAGATAAATAGCAGTTGCTGTTTCTTGCAAACTTCATGTATTTCACTATTAGCAATTTATGGCAAATAATTGCACAGGGAAATTATAAAGACTCCTACAATTGTCCTTGTAAATTAATAATAGGCTTTCTTGATTGGGATAAATTTGCTGCTGAGCCTTTGGAAAAATTAAAAAGTGCAATGTCATTTAAAATTGCCAGGACTCACACAGCAAATTACATCTGAGGTTAAGAATCAGTTTTTCCTCTTCTAGTTTATTCCATTTGCATGATCTG